AGGTTAACGTTAATTCTATAGTTCACATTTGACCTCGACACAACAAAGAGAAATATCTGTACATAAATGCAATGTTGTCTAGCAGGGGACGGGTAGCATGGGAGATATAGGGAGGTAAAAGATAGCATAACTTTTATTTCTCCTCTGCTCCTCCACCACTTTTCCCCATTCCTCTCTCCTTCCCCTTCCCCCCCATCCAGACCAACCCCACCCTCTTCCCTCCCTCCCTTTTCCCCCCTACAGATCCCCCAACGAATTAAGTGAAAAATTGTCAGATTGCATGCCTCGGGTTCTAGTCAATCACCACACCCACATAGTAACTGTTCTGCCTCTTGCACAGAGACAGAATAAGAAACAACAGAAGGTAACACCTTGTGAGTTATTTAGACTTACTTTTGGTAAGTCCTCTCGCTACGAGAGGACAAGCGACTGAGGACTACCGGTGAAACACAATTTGTCTTTGCTGATCTTCCTCACTTCGCTACTTTAATTTAGATAAAATTTTTGTACATCGTTGATATTGTTGTTGTTAACATATAACTGTTGATTAGTAAGTGACAAGAAAATCCTCCATGCTAGGGGGCAAGATGACAACTAGGAATACACAGATGGTGACACCACAGACCGAAACCACCAACTCTCCCACTCACGCACCTAACACAGATCCAAAACCAACTTTTCAAATACACTCCCAAAACGCCAAGGGGCTGAATACCCCGGAGAAAAGATCACTCGCACTCACAGATTTTCATAGATATAAAGCAGATATTGTGTTTGTACAAGAAACGCATTTTCGCAAACACCAGGCTCCCTCATTTAGAAACCGCAAATATCGTCTAGGTTATTTTAGTCATTATACGGAAGCTAAAGCAAGGGGAGTAGCAATTTTGTTTGAGAGACAAGTTCCGTTTACACTCACAGAACAACTAAATGACAATGCAGGTAAATACATATTCATTAAAGGAAAACTAGGCAATACTACCATAACACTAGCAAACATTTACCTTGCTAATAAAAAACAAAGTGTGGTCCTGAGAAAAACACTCCACATGTTACTCGAATTTCAGGAAGGTCTATTGGTCGTGGGGGGGACCTAAACATCTCATTAGACGGCCAACTAGACACATCCGCTACCTCCAGTGAGTACCTAGAGCCCACCCGCAAACGAATACTCGATATCCTACATAAGGCCAGATTATATGACAGTTGGAGGGCACTACACCCCTCAGGCAGGGATTACTCATTCTATTCCACAACCTCCAACACATATACCAGAATAGACATGTTGCTACCAGAATAGATATAACTACCTCAATCTGATTAAGACAGCATCGTACGGTCCCATCACATGGTCTGACAATGCCCAACTGACCCTAGATCTAACAATCCCTTCTCTGACTAGAGCTTTCCCTCAATGGAAATTGAATGACCTTCTCTTAAACAAAGAGGGGGTTATAGAGAAAATTAAAACATGTGCGTAGAGGTACTTCGAGACCAATCTAAGCCAGACGTGATATGGGAAGCTCACAAATGCGTCCTTAGGGGAGAAATCATTAAAATAGCATCAGCTCAGAAAAAACTGAGAGAAGCTAATATAACATCCTTAACCCAGGACATACAAAACCTAGAGCTAAATCACAATAAGGACAATACGATACACACATACAACAATCTACTAGCTAAACGGGCAGAACTTAAAACTATTCTCAACCTACAGGCTATACGGTCTGTACAATGGACAAAACACTCATATTTTACACAAGGGGGCAAATGCGGTAAACTACAAGCACAATCTCTACAACACCAAAGACAATCAACATTCATATGAAACATTAAACTACCAGATGGTTCACTGACACAATTAATGCCGAAAATCATGTCAACATTCCATACATATTACCATCCTTTTATAATATAAGAGGCATACCACCTCCCGCAGATAAGATCTGGGAATTCCTAGCAAGTCGAATTAATACCACTATTCCGCGTAACTTGGCGGAATTCCTGGACAAACCTATTACCACTGAGGAGTTCCACAGTGTAGTTAAACAGCTCCCGATAGGAAAAAGTCCTGGGCCGGACGGCTACACAGGCAAATACTATAACATCGCAAATACTATAAAATCACGAGCATTTAATTTTACACATAATCCGAGAAAGGCTCCACAAGAGACATTAAATGCCACCATAACTTTACTGCCCAAACCGGGCAAAGACCTTACAAATTGTGGGAGTAATAGACCAATATCCCTAATGAACGTGGATCTAAAACTCTTCACCAAAATCCTGGCCAATCAATTAAAACCACTACTCCCTGACCTGATACATCAAGACCAAGCGGGGTTTGTGCCAAGTAGGGAGGCAAAAAACAACACCACGAAAATCATCAACATAATGCACTGGACAAAAATCAATAAAATCCAGAGTGTACTACTGGATATTGATGCCGAAAAGGCATTTGATAGGGTAGATTGGTCCCTCATGACAGCCACGATGGAACATCTAGGTTTTGGACGCAGGTGGTTAAAATGGTTGGGGAGACTCTATTCCTCACCTACTGCCCGAATACACATCAATGGTCAGCTCTCAGAAGCGGTATACATAAGGAATGGGACCGGACAGGGGTGCCCTCTCTCATTAATTTTTATCCTTGTGCTAGAACCATTCATACAGGGAATATGAAACAACCCGCAGATACACGGCATCAAAATAGGAAGTATAGACTACAAGGTCTCTGCCTTTGCAGACGACTTGCTTTTCACGATCTCTAAGCCAATGCAATCTATTCCACATATACTAACGGAAATGAGAGCATACAGTGACATTTCGAACTTCCAAGCAAATCTCACAAAATGTGAGATCCTCCCTCTGCACACAACCCCAGACACAGACAAGTACATACAGAAACACTTTCATTTTACGTGGGCAACAAAAATAAATAAAATATCTAGGAATACACCTGCCACACCAGCTAAGACAACTCTATGAATGAAACTTCACCCCGCTTTTGGAAGACATCTCTAAAGATTTGAAGGCCTGGCATTAACCATGCTACGGATGGTTCTGTAGAATAAGTATCATAAAAATGGTGGTATTACCACACATCCTATACACATTACAAACAGTCCCAATTAAGTTACCAGTTAGTTTCTTCTACAAAATCAAGGGGACATTGACATCCTTTATTTGGTGACAATCCAAACCTAGAATACCACTAAAACTCTTAATTCAACCAAGGGAGAAAGGGGGAATGGGTATGCCGGACATAGAAACATATTATAACACAGTGCACTTGTCCTGGATCTACGAGTGGATGAAGGAACAACCCTCACAGCAGTGGGTACTTATAGAAAGGGAACAATGCCTAGTACCTCTTGTTACACTCCCGTGGCACAAACTGAACACCGCACTTCTCAAACATAAACATCACCCGCTTATATTAACTACTCTGTAGACATGGTCGAAAATAACTAGTAACACAAAAATAGCCTCTTATCCATCGCCACTATATCATATTTCACATATCCCACTACTACAATCAGGTATTACAGGCAGAATTTACGAGCTACACCGGGGGGGCCATAAACATTACGCTGCAGGACATGATCAAGGACAATTCACTAATAGCATTGCAAGATCTCACTCTCGGCAAACCACGACGAGTATGCAACAATTACATTATTCACAAGTGAAACGTTCCATGGGGTGCCAGAAGCTGCTGCCAGGGGGAAACAGGGAACTGACAACTTTTGAACGGCTGTGTAAAACGCATCCTTTAAAACAGAAATTGTTATCTACAATGTACAAACTACTATTACATTCCAACACAATTGACACCCCGGGATTCGCTTCCAAGTGGACTAGAGAAATGAATATAGACATTTCCGGAGAGCAATGGAAGCACATTTTTATCAGAACCCACAAAATGTCCATTACAACCAAAAATCAGGAAAGTAACTATAAACGCCTAACCCGCTGGCACTACACGCCCTCTAAACTAAGCAAAATGTTTTTGGATTCGCATACACAAACTCATACAGACCATTATGCATAAACAGATACCCTTTGTGACGAGACCAATCTCGCCACATTGCATTGGAGAAGCCTGGTTGCTCGCCTGTTGCCTTTGGATTATGGCCCCATGTTAAAAGGCTTGATTTTCCCTGCAAAGACAAGAAAGCCGGGTCATTTGGTGCTTGCCCTGTTTGAGCAGTGATACCCCAGATAGCTATGCCATGGAGCCCATTCGTATAATGAAAGACTATGGGAAAGACTTTGGCTCCATGGCAATTGAACTGTATGTGAGTGCTCTGAGCGCCATTCAGTAATAATGTGCGCTCAGATCTGAGCTATCTGTTGAATGTACCTGTTTTGTGCAATGGCTGCACAGTTATATGTTTTTATGTGTTTTATTGTCTTTTGCTGCCATGTGTTCAATGGAGTTTTGCCTCTGTCCTTGGAGATAATTGGATTACTTCACAATTATCTCCAGGATAGAAGACACTGTGGAACTGGTTTTGGGTAGAAAAGCCATGCTTCCTTTGGTCACAAAGGACTACGATCTATCTTTTGAACCACTGGACCAATTTGTATGATGTTGACGTATGTTTGTATTTGGAGTATGCTGATTCTGAAAATGTAAGTTATATGTGAATGTGATGCATACTTTTCAAGTTATGAATAATGTGAAATTTTTTTATTTCTCTGCTTGTTATAATTACATTACCCATTGTGTAAGGTAATTGAATCACAGGCAGAGGGGAGGATTTTGTGTGGGAGTGTCTGAGTGTATTGTATGTGTTTATTGGTTGTTTTCCAAAACCCTGTGGGTGGTACTAATGTGTATATAAGAACAATAAACCCACAGCTCTGACTGTTCACTGCTTGACCCTCAACACGGATCTTTGTCTCGTTCTTGGGTGGATTTATTGTATGCTGTTCCAGTTCGACTGCTAAGAGTGTAAACCTATTCGTATGGTTTTTCCTATTCGGCTGTTTACAGCATTCATATGGTTTCCTGTTCGGCGGATTGGTGTTCTGCAGTAGCTGTGCCTGTGTCTCTGGAAGGGAAGATCTACTAAACGGCTGTTAACCCTTTTATGCCTGGGGTTGCCTTTACACCCTTCACACCTGAACATTTATTATTTATGCTGCCACTCCATGATTTCAATAAAAAGGAAAACTACCTGACATCCCAACTGGCAGCAATCCACCTTATTCCAGTATACTGGAAACAGGAAAAGATCCCCTCTATTAGGGAATGGACCAACAGGGTAGAAAGTATTAAACAGATGGAAAGTATAACATATGCCTTATCAAAAAATGACATAACCTTCACCCAAACATGGAAACTCTGGTCAAACTATTTAGGAGGAGTGAAATGAGACTTGGGCAAAAGTAACAAAAACAGAACTTGGTACTGAGGACTACTCAAACGTCGCATGTACAGCGCTTAAAGAGCAACAATATGCAGCACAATTTACTTTGTACTCTGCAGTATATAATACGTTCTGGGAGAAATACATAATAGTCATCATCAATTGTATAATGATTGCTCAATACTCAATATATGTCATCACCTGTATAATGATTATTACTATATCTTGAAAATGTTATGCAACATTACCTGTTGAAGTCACATTGTCTATGTTTCAGATGTAATTATTGTATACACAATTATTGTTATGAAACTTGAAAATCAATAAAAAATTATTAAATAAAAAAAATATATATAGAGAGAGTTATAGAATGTGTCACACTGTGGATAGTTATAGAATGTGCCAAACTGTAGATATACAGAGTTATATAATGTGTCACACTCTAGATATATAGAGTTATAGAATGTGTCACTGTAGCGGAGAGGCAGTATAATCCACGATATCTCCGCTGGGTAACAGGAACAACAAAGGATCATCCAGGGAATCAGCATACAATAATCCAAACAGCACTGCAGTAACCCTTCCTTCCCAAGAACTAGACGACACATAGGCTGGGAGTCAACTGAGGTCTTTTAATTCAGCTCCACAATTTATACAAGTCCCCATGCCAGGGGTTTCCTGAGTCCCCTCCCAGGGGCATTCCCAGAGGGGACTACATGGGGGACTTACAATACAGGGTATTTCTCCCATCAGGCACTGCTGCACGAGAGGGATCCTCCCACAGGAATGTACCGTTAAGTGGATTATCCCTCCGTGCAGCAGAACTTACAATTCGCATTAAATTCCATAACTTCATGAATATCTGGTTCATTTAAACGAATGGACGTTCGGTAGATAGCTGGGGTGAGATTACCGCTCAGATCCCAGCTAAAACAACCGAACGCCGTACGAAAAACACATTCACCAAAACATAGTTTTAAAATACTGATTGTATATAAGGGAACAAAATACCGAATGTCCCGGACCTCCCGAACGGCCTGGAAGCTCAGCGGTGTTCGTGCCGCCGAGTAGCCGTTTTTAGTACCATGCGCTCGACGACCAAACACCGCTGAGGGAATAAAGGATCCAAGATAGCCGACCGCCGCATGGTCGGTAGTCGAACGACGGCCACCTTGGAGAGCCTCTAATTACCGATTGCAACATTGTTGCAATCGGTTAATATGCGCCACACGCCTCTAAGTGTGTGGGCTATTAACTGGTGTTTTGTTCGGTTCCCGAACGGCCCGCAAAGGTGCCGTTCATGAAACAAAAGGGAATCAGCTATCTGCGTTCGGCAGATAGCCCAGGTAAGAAATACAGCAATAACATTACATTGCGTTACACGCTGGAACACATAACATGAACCCCATACCGGCAACCCTTAAAGAGACAGTACAGAAATAATGTCCAAGTGGCTAGGTTTGCCACAATGCTCCCCCAGAACCAAGCCGGCATGCACAGTCTGATCCCAACGGATCGGCTTGGGGATGTCCGGAGGAGTACTCGCGGATCACGTCTCCAAGTCTGTTTGTCTAGACAACCCGTCGGTGTTGCCATTTTGCTTTCCAGGACGATAGTGGATTGTAAAGTCAAAAGGCTGCAGCGCCAAACTCCAGCACAGCAGCCTGGCATTGTCTCCTGACACCCTGTTCAGCCACACCAATGGGTTGTGATCCGTGAGTAATGTAAAGGGTTGTCCGTATAAGTAGGGTTGCAACTTTTTGAGGGCCCACACCACAGCCAGGCACTCTTTTTCAATGGCGGCGTAGCTTACTTCACTGGGTAAAAGTTTTCGGCTTAGATAAGCTACGGGGTGCTCGCCGCCATCTGGTCCAACTTGGCTCAGTACTGCTCCCAATCCAAACATAGAAGCGTCTGTGTGGACGAGAAAACGTTTAGTTGGATCAGGAGCAGAAAGTACAGGTGAGTTAACAAGTGCCGTCTTGAGCTGTTGAAACGCCTGCTCACACTCTGGGGCCCAGACTACTAGCTTAGGGAGATTCTTGCGGGTCAGGTCCGTGAGGGGTTTGGCAAGGGTGCTATAGTTGGCCACAAATTTCCGGTAGTACCCTGCTGTCCCTAAGAAGGCTAGCACTTGGGTCTTAGTGCGAGGGGTAGGCCATTGGGCGACTGCTTCTATTTTAGCGGGTTCTGGTTTCTGTTGCCCACTCCCTACCCGGTGCCCTAGGTACTGCACCTCCACCATACCTATATGGCATTTGCTGGGTTTTAGTGTCAGTCCGGCCTCCCAGATCCGGTCCAGTATGGCTCATATGTGGATCAGATGTTCGTGCCAGGAGTGGCTGAATATGGCGATATCATCTAGATACGCGCAGGCATACTCCTGGAACCCATCTAATAACCTGTCTACTATTCTCTGAAAGGTAGCTGGGGCGTTTTTCATCCCAAATGGCATGACCTTAAACTGATACAGGCCAAACGGGGTGACAAAGGCCGACTTAGGAATGGCGTCCTCTGCTAACGGAATCTGCCAGTACCCTTTGCACAGATCTATTGTGGTCAGGTACTGGCCCCTGGCCATTTTGTCGAGGAGCTCGTCTATCCGGGGCATGGGATACGCATCGGAGGTAGTTTTATCGTTGAGCCGCCGGTAGTCTACACAGAAACGGGTCGTTCCGTCCCGTTTCGGCACCAGTACTACCGGGGAGGCCCAGGGGCTGTCTGAGTGCTCTATCACTCCTAACTGAAGCATTTCCTCAATTTCTTTGCGCATATTTTCTTTGACTGCTTCGGGTGTGCGGTATGGGGGTTGGCGCAGGGGAGTCTGATCTAACGTTTCTACCTTACTTGCACCTAACGGGGTATAGCCGGGAAAACGTGGCTTTCTTTTCCTGAAGCAACTTTTGTACCTGAGCTCATTCTTGGGGTTTTAACCGCTCTCCTAACTGTACCTCTCCCAGATCTCCGCTCCGGCCCTCTTGGTCTAGGAGATCGGGTAGATGTAGATTGTCAAAATCTTCGGTGGCAGGGGCACAGATTGCGGTGACCTCCTCAGTGCATTCGTGATACGGCTTGAGCATGTTCACATGGAGCATGCGTTTGCCTCCCGTGCCTGTAACTGGGCCGATCACATAGGTGGTGTCACAGATCTGTTCTACCACCTTGTATGGGCCCTGCCAGGAGGCCTGCAGCTTATCTTTGTGAACTGGTCGCAAGATTAGTACCTTTTGCCCCACCTGAAAGCTGCGGTCCCTGGCTTCCTTATCATACCATCTGCGCTGTCGTTGCTGCGCTACCTGGAGATTGTCTCGGACGGTCTGGGTCATCCTCTCCAGGCGTTCTCTGAACTCGAGCACATAGGGTAAGATAGGGGTGCCATTAATGGTTTCGTCTCCTTCCCAGTGTTCCCGGATCAAGTCAAGAGGTCCCCTCATTCTCCTCCCGAATAATAATTCGAACGGAGAGAATCCGGTGGATTCTTGTGGCACCTCTCGATACGCGAACAGCAGGTGGGGTAAGAACTTTTCCCAGTCCTTTTGGGTGTCCATGAACGTGCGGATCATTTGTTTAAGGGTTCCGTTAAACCGTTCACAGAGCCCATTGGACTGGGGGTGATATGGGGAGTTCCGGATTTGCTGTATCCCACATATCTTCCAGAGCTGATGTGTGACTTCAGCGGTAAACTGTGTGCCTCTATCAGAGATAATCTCCCGGGGAAATCCTACCCGGGTGAATATTCTCATCAGGGCCTTGGCTACCGTTTCCGCGTGTACGTTGGTTAACGCCATTGCCTCGGGGTATCGGGTGGCATAATCCACCACGGTCAAGACATATTTCTTGCCGGATGGGCTGGGCTTTGCTAGAGGTCCTATGATGTCTACTGCCACCTTACTGAAGGGTTCCTCAATTATGGGCAGAGACCATAACTGGACTTTGCATCTGTCCCCTCTCTTGCCTACCCTTTGGCAGGTATCGCAGGTCTGGCAATATCGCCTAACATCCTGGGAGAAGTTTTGGGTCAGCCTGTGCTTGGTACGACTGATGCCTAAGTGCCCAGACAGGAGGATATCATGGGCTATGCGTAATAACTCTAACCTATATTTTCGAGGCACTATGAGTTGTTTAATGGGTAAAGGTATTGACCCAGACACTACCTTTTCCAAAGGATCCAAGATGGCCGACCGCCGCATTGTTGCAATCGGTTAATAGGCGCCACACGCCTCTAAGTGTGTGGGCTATTAACTGGTGTTTTGTTCGGTTCCCGAACGGCCCGCAAAGGTGCCATTCGTGAAGCGAAAGGGAATCAGCTATTTGCGTTCGGCAGATAGCCCAGGTAAGAAATACAGCATTAACATTACATTGCATTACACGCTGGAACACATAACATGAACCCCATACTGGCAACCCTTAAAGAGACAGTACAGAAATAATGTCCAAGTGGCTAGGTTTGCCACAGTCACACTCTAGATATACAGAGTTATAGAATGTGCCAAACTGTAGATATATAGAGTTATAGAACGTGTCACACTTAGTGATGCATCGAACGGTTCGCTGGCGAACAGTTCCTGGCGAACATAGTGTGTTCGCATCCGCCGCGGATGTCGAACACATGCGCGGTTCGATCTGCCCCCTATTCGTCATCATTGAGTAAACCTTGACCGTGTACCTCACAGTCAGCAGACACATTCCAGCCAATTAGCAGCACACCCTCCCTAGCAGACCCTCCCACCTACTGGACAGCATCCATTTTAGATTCATTCTCAAGCTGCATGCTTAGTGAGAGGAGGGAAAGTGTAGCTGCTGTTGATTAGATAGGGAAATGCATAGCTAGGTTAGGGTATACAGTGTTCACTACAGTCCTGAAGGACTCATCTGATCTCTGCTGTAAGGACAGCACCCCAAAAAGCCCTTTTTAGGGCTAGAACATCAGTCTGCTTTTTTTTTTTTTCTGTGTAATGTAATTGCAGTTAGTTGTCTG